GCCACCGTCCTGCCCTGAAGATGCCCCCCCCCGCTCCTGTCACCGCTGCGGGGCTGCTGGGGACAGAGTGTGAACTCGGCCCCACTCTCAACACAACCATGCTGGGGGCTCTCGCAGTGTCAGGAGGGTGCACTCAGGTCCCAAACCCTCCACCGTCACCTCCATCCCCACTCGGTTAAGCCCTAAGAACGAACACGCCACCAAGAAAGGCACTTTTCCACCCGCCAGCACAGACAGAACCAAGGACGGGCAGGAAACTCACAACAGAGACAAGGTAGAAAGGTTTGCTTTAAAAACGGGCAGAAGTGACGGGACATTGCTAGCTCTGCCGGGGAGAACACCGTGGCACAAACGGCACTTGGGTGTGCCGCCGGTAACACTGCCCTTACCCGGGCACCTGCTCAGTGCCAGCCACCAGAGTGGGAGTGGGAAGGGAGGAGTGAACACTGTGGCTGCCTGCGTTGCTCCTGCCCTGCCAGCCAGGCAGGCAGCTCCCCACAGCGCTGCCCGGGACAGGAAAGCTGTTTCCTCCAGGGATCACGTCACACAAGCTCCCGGGACGCTTGTGCTCAGGCATGGGGGCTCCCGGTAGGACCGAGTGGGCACATCACGCATCGGAGAGAGAAGGGACAACTCGAAGCAGAAGCCCAGCCCGGGACTTTGCCTGCACACAGCAGGAAGCGGTGGGTGTCCCAGTCCAGAGCCCCTCGGCTCTGGGAGGCGGCATCACTGTCCATCCTTCTCCTGGCTTGGGGTGTCCTTCTCCATGCTGGCCAGGTAGCAGTCATAGTTCTCCTCACACCTCCTCACGCAGCGCAGGAAATAGTCCTCATCGGCAATGGCCTCCAGCAGGTCGGTCTGCACCAGGCAAACGTCATACAGCTCCGAGGTGGGAACACGCCTGGGGCTGCTGCTGCCCCGCTCAGAAAACACCTGTGGGGAGAGAGCAGCCCACAGAAGCACTCACACCCTCCCCGGGCAGCAGTGCCAAGAGCCATGCCCAGCACCAGCACCGAGCCTGGTGGCAGCGCACGCATCCTGCGGTGCACCCTGCTCTCCTCCTCAGCCAGGTGCCTTCACGCTGGCTGTGGGTCAGGGGCAGAGGGCAAGGGCTCCCATCTCCACTCCGGTGGCAAAAGATGAAGTTTCTCCAGATTTCCATTCCCTCCCACACCAGCTCATCACACGTGTGGCTGAGCCTCCCCTAAGGAATGGGCCACACCACAAAGCTGAAGAAAATGGCTCTGTGAAGCAGCCGACCCCAGGAAGACATCTGCCCACAGCTCTTCCTTTGGCTGTCACACAGGAGGGAACAAGGACTTCACCTTCCGATCTTAGCTGTGGCTCTGCCTAAGCCCACCTGGCAATCTCTTTCCCTCCCACTGCTGCTCTGTCACCGTCACTGACACAGGGACAGCCCTGCAGAGCTGGTGACGCAAGAGGAGGGGAAACTGGCATCCAACCTATCGATCCTGGCTGCAGGACAGCAAAGTCCTAGCAGCAGGGATGAGCCCTGCTGGCGAGATGCTCAGCTGCCACCCAGACCCCAGCGAGGTCTGCTGCCATGATAACCTGATCCTACCTGACTCATCTGGTGTGGGGAGCCCTGGGGCTGGTTGCCCGGCCGCCCCGAGACAAGCCGTGCAGCCTGACTGACCAGCCGTGCTGGGTACGGACATGTCGTGGTTTGAGCAAGGCAAAGGAGGAACCCCTTGCTCAGAGAAACAGCCTCAGCCTGAATTGCAGCGAGTGGAGCTGCGTGAGCCACACTCTGGCTGCTGCAGACACACAGGCAGCAGCTGCTGCACACAGGACCCTCAGGTTCTCAACAGAGCCGTCCGCATTAATTCCCCTGAATCAGGCAGGGCACAGACCGAAGCCTATTCCTGACAGGTCTGCTCCGGGCAGCAACAACTCCTGCCACCACCTACAAATCCGTGAGCTGAGAGAGCTTGTACAGAAGGGAATATCTGATGAGCATCCCATCCCTCACCACTCCCCAGCTGCCTGGCAAACAGGGGCTGGTGCTGTCTCCTCCCGGGTGGAAGCGGGCAGGAGCTCAGGCTCACCCCTGGAGCCGCGGCTCTCGTTCGAGCATCGACAGTTGTCCAACTTCCAGGCACATTTCTGTCTGCATAAACATTCCCTTTTCCAAGCGTGCTCCACCACAAACACTGCCCCTTCAATGTGGGGCCACAGACGAGCCGTGGCCACTTGCCGAGGCTGGCTGGCCAGTTGCCTCCGGGAGCGGGGCTGACTCACGCCGGCAGAGCAGCGGCACTTGGCAGTGAGCAGAGGCAGCCAGCACCCCCTGTTCTCTGCTGACACCCTGCCCACGGGCAGCCCTGCACATCGCTGCCACCAACACTGGTGGCACGGGGTGCAGTGGCACTGGGGCTACGCCTTGATCCCCCTTTGCAGGTTCATGCTCATGCAAAGGGGACAAAACGTGCCCGACCTCCCCCAGCACAGGCATCTGGCACCGGAGGAGCCTTCAGCCACCTACCAGGGGATGAACAATGGTGTCCTCATCGTCCAGCCGGATGTTGTCGTCTATGAAGATGTGGTGAACGTCAGGATCATGGGGGTCGATCCACAGGGGCTTCCCACCCTGGGAAGAGAACTGGTTTCTGGCCCACCTGAAACAGCAAACGGGGCAAGGAGCAGTCAGGGGAGGGAGAGGGCAACAGATCTCAGACAAAGGCAGGAAAGGCTGCACGGCGGGTTCAGGGCAACCCTGTGAGCCAGGAAAGCAGGATGGAGAGCGTCCGGTCCCTCTGCCTGCTGCTGCCTCCTGGGAAAGAGGCGTTTTGCAGTGAGGTGACAAATCAGGGGGTGTTTGGAGAAAAGCAGGAGGTACACCAGGGGATGGTGACCTGAGGAAAGATGCATGTGCCCCATCAGGCAAAATGGGAGCACATAAGCAATAGGGGCCCCAACAACATTAAGACCTCAAAACTAGGAGCTATCCCAGACCAGGAGAAGCTTGGAGAGCCACAGGAGAGAAGAAAAAGCCCAACTCACTTCCTCAGTACCCCATTTCTCACCAGTCAAAGTGGTCTTGGAAGCCTCCAACTCCCTCCAAGGAGCTGAAGTAGTCATAGAGCTTTCTTCCATCTCCCCGGCTGGCCAGCCGCTCTGCTCCCCTTGTCAGCACCACCTCTCGCTTGCTGCAGCGTATCTGGCCAGGGGTGAGGTCCACAGGGAGCTGCAGGACGACAGAAAGCAGGAGAGGAAAGTTTTCCAAAGCAGGCAGGTTGTTTCACGCATTGGCAGAGACAACAAGCAGCAGGGTGGAGACTCCCCACCACCGCAGCGTGGGAAGACAGCGCTGGGGAGAAGACAAGAAGAGGCATGGAACCCACCCCCCCCCGCCAAAAATCATCCCCTCCCCTGGGATGGAAAGGAATGGCCTCCAGCTGCACACTGCCCCCGTTTCAATCTCTGTTCCCTGACAATGCTCCCAGGAGTTAGGGAGGTCATTCTTCCCCTCTGCTCTGCACTGGTGAGGCCACAACTGGAATACTGCGTCCAGTTCTGGGCTCCCCAGTTCAAGAGAGACAGGGAACTGCTGGAAAGAGTCCAGTGTTGGGCAACAGAGATGATGGAGGGATTGGAGCATCTCCCTGATGAGGAAAGGCTGAGAGAGCTGGGACTCTTTAGCCTGGAGAAGAGAAGGCTGAGGGGAGACCTAATTAATGCTGACAAGTATCTAAAGGGTGGGTTGAAGGAGGATGGAGCCGGACACTTTTCAGTGGTTTCCAGTGACAGGATGAGGGGTAACGGGCACAAGCTGGAACATGGGAAGTTCCACTCAAAAATGAGGAAGAACTTCTTTTGGGTGAGGGTGTCAGAGCCCTGGAACAGGCTGCCCAGGGAGGGTGTGGAGTCCCCTTCTCTGGAGATCTTCAAGCCCCGCCTGGATGCAGCCCTGAGTGCTGTGCTCCGGGCAACCCTGCTTTGGCAGGGGAGTTGGACTGGATGATCCCTAGAAGGTCCCTTCCAACTCCAGCAATTCCATGATTCCACCAATATCCAAAGCAGGTTCTGAAGCTGATTCCCGGCGTTCCTGCCCGGTGTGCTGCCCGGGGCAGAGCACGGCACTGCTGAGCCAGGGAGCCCCGTTCTGCTCCAGCGGCCCCTCTCCGGGAGAAGGGATGTTCCATCCAACCCAGGACACCCCGAGAGGAGACCTTTCCCACCCGGCATCTCCCCCGGCTAACAGCTCCATCCCGAGAAGCCATGCCACTCACCGCCACCTCCCGTAGGGCGGGGAACTGGGGGTGCTGCCCGGCCAGGGCGCAGCCGACGGCCCGGAGGGCGCGGGGCAGGTCGGTACCGAAGGTCCTGAAGACGACGGCGAAGTCTCTCCCCTCCCGGTGCAGGGCGTCCAGGAGGCGGAAGAAGGAGGGCAGGATGAGGTGGTAGCTCTTGCTGGGCTCTCCCTGGACCGAGAAGACGTCGTGCGGCCGGCCCGGCCACTCCAGCAGCCGCAGGTGGCGGGCGTGGAGGTTACCGAAACACCGGCCCGGGCCCGCCTCGGTGAAGGCGGGGTCCCGGCCGTGGCGGCTGTAGTAGCTGAGGACGCCGGGGCAGGGTGGCCGCAAGGAGGGCCGGTCGCTCGCCCACTGCCACTCGCCTGCAAGAGAGGAGGGTGTTTAGCCGCCGCCCCCGCCCCGC